AGGAAGTCCGGAAGAATAGCTCCGGTGGTCATGGTAGACAACTTGTTAACAAACAATTGTATTCATGTGTAACAATCCCTTCCGACAGATTGAAGCTGTTATAATGGGTTATCTCCAAATTAAGCCCCAAGATATCTCAAGTGGTTGAAGATAACAGATTCCGGTGCATCTCTGCCTCAATCCAGAAATGTCACAAGTCCTTTGTGATTTCACATTCACTGCAGAAAATAGACCTCTGATGGAAAAATGTAGCAGAGCTGAGTAAGATATTTGCAAGTCCCAAATGGACATGCAACATAAAAAGTCCCTTATGTAGTTTGTGGTTTTATATAATGTAATACTATATCATGAGATTTCTTACTTTAACTTTGTTTTGGACAGTCTCTTAATATCTTTAATTTCCTTTCTTAGTTATTTTATTCTTAGTTCCATTTTTCTCTTTTAAATTTTTTTAATAAATTCACTTAATGTTATAGCCTTATTAAGTGAACTGCATACAAAAACAAGAAGTTTAAATATATGAATAATGATAAGAAATCAAACATCTACATGATGTGAATAACAACAATGGTAATATTACAATATTTCAGAGTAATCAAATAACTAAACCAAGGATTGCTTGGCTGTCAGACTCTCACAAAGATGTTAAATGGCAGTTTTCTTAACATTCAGACTGAAACATAATATAGGCAGCATGACAGAGGTAATCATAAAAAGGTACTGATTAGTTAATTACTTTGTTATACTAATTGTAGTAAATGAGAACCAGCGTAAGTAGAACAGTATAAACCTTTGAATTTTTGACCTTGACAAAATCTATTGAAATCAGGCTTAAATCTCTGGTGCCTTGTGGCATGTGCTAGTACATTAGAAATATAAATGTTCAGCAAGTGTATTGACAGGCAGACCTCCAGCACTCATTTTTTTCCCCCATTTATTTTTTCCAGGGAAACAAGGACGACGACGACGAAAAATGAAAGATAGAAAAATATTCCACTAAACAAAGCATTGAATGGGATGGCATCAAGCTACAGACCTTTAATATTACCATGACTCATATAGTATTAATTAATATGCAGATGCTGATAGCTGCGTTATCTTGCAAACTATATTTTCACCTATTCTATGTCATCTGAAAAAATAGTATTTGATCCAGCTGTCAAGTAATGAATAATAATTTGAAATGGGTCTGAGGTGAATAATTCAGAAGCTGAACTTGTCACAGTAAATCCAAGTTGTAATCGTGCAGGACCACATTCAAGCTGCTTTGTCCCATCATTATTATTTGTTGATTTTCTTTCGTTGTTGAGGCTACTCCTTTGTAAAAAAAATATTTATTCTAACATATTCATGCTGGAACTCCCATTGGTGAACAATATGAGTATAAGAGGTTAATAAAAATGCATCTGGCCTAGGGCAGGATGATTTTCACATCCAGTCTCATGTGCTCATTGGTTTTAGTTGTAGAAGCACAAACAGACTGGAGATATCACTTGGCCATTTCACCTTTTATAAAACGCAGTTCTGCTGATTTTTCATAAGCAATACCTTAATTTCATACGTATGAGATCATATATGTAATCTAGGTTTAAAAAAAGGATAACATTTACTGCAGTTATTAGTATTTTAAAACCTTGTAATTGTAAACAGGATATATTTTCTTCCCTTGGTAATTAAGCACTTTGTAAAATGCTATTGTTAACTATTGTTCTGTTTTTAAAAAAGTATTGTTTTTACTCTTCACTGCATATAAACAACAACAACAAGATTACATTTGTATAACGCCTTTCATGTCGGGAGGATGTCCCAAACAAACAAAGTAGTAAGTACAATACAGCACCATGACTGCCAGAGTGGGATGAGGCAAGTGACATTAATGACTTGAGTCAGAAACTGCTGGATACGACTAGATGCTGGATACTTGAATTGGTAATGATTGTTGCAGAAATACTATTCTTAAATACCGATGGCATGTACTGTTATACAATATTATTTTTTAAATGACCACTGTGGGGCAGCGTGCTGTTAAACAACTTTAAAATAAATCATTTTACAGGATGTGTACTGGAAGAACTTGAGCTGCGAATATGAATATTTAAAAACGGGTCCATTATTACTACTTGTTTTAAAACGTGAATACTATATCACGTAAACCATTTAATTACTTTAAAGAGAATTCATCATTTTACCTCTTGATCTCCTGGATTTTATAAACGTACAATACAGTTTCACCATTGGAATATGATTTTCTGCAGTTATGATCTGAACAAGACCCAATTCAATCCAGTAATTTACAATTCTGAACTATTTTACAGCTCGGGCTGCAGTGCAGACATCCACAACAGGACTGGTAAGGAAATGACGCAGAATTATGAGAAATGTAGTGGAAGGCAACCACAGTTAATTCATTAAAGGTGCCACTCCATACTTTTAATACAATAATATTTAGTTCACATGAAGTACAACTGATAGAAATGCAGTAAGTGACACAATGGATTTAAAGGAACAGCCACAGTACAAAAAACACTAGTTTAATACTTGCTGGACCACATTGAACTTCGTACAACTCAATCTTACGTTCTTCAGATAATATTGTATCTATAAGAGCATTGTTCAATGCACCTTCTAAAGGAAAGAAGGACTGGAGCTGCTATGAATGTCTCCCATTTGCGTCCAGTTGCTATAGCACAGGTGAAGCACACTACCTAGCTAAATCCAAGTTAACGCCCGTGCGAGAATTGCTTTGAAGTGAAATTGACAAGAAGAGTACTTATCAATAAAAGGCTTCTGCATCATTACTGGAACATTACATTAGACAAAATTACAACCAAATTACTTCCAACGTCTACAGCATTTTGGATTGATTTCATGCTGATTGTAGTGCTTTTGGAAAACAGCGTGGTAAACCAGTACCATTTAGCAACTTTTGTGCTGTTATCCTGGATTAACCCTAGCAGTAAGCATAAACCCTAAATAAGTAGTGCAATGTTTTGGATGTCCAGTTAATGTGTTAAATGTAAAATGTTGTGCATACCAAAGCTGAATGAAGTAGGACAAAATAAATAATTTTACAAAAGCATCATTTATTATTAATGTAGAAAATGTTTTTCAACTTTGAAACTGGTTTTCACTCTTGCTTTTTGTGAGCATATTTTATGATAAACGACAAATTCTGAATTTCTGAAACAGTACATTTCCATTACTGCTTAATATTTTTTGTAAAATAACACACTATAATTGAAAAAAAGTTTTTAGAAATAGTAGATGCTAAATCATTTAATCAGCAGTCTTTTGAAAGTTCATCTGGCTCAGGAATAATAATTCAACTACACCTTAAGGAATTTGATAAAATTATGAGAATAAGCCAGTGAAGCTCAGCATCATTCAACTCTTAAAGCCTGCTAATTCACAGACTTTGTTAAACACTACTACAGCATTCCCCATTGTATTTGTGTACATGTAGGTGCATAACATACCATCTAAAATTATCAGAAGCAAAACTGGTCTGTCAATTGGAATTTGCTATTTCCATTGTAGGACAGATGATCAAGAGAACACAATAAAAATCTATGTGATTATTCCCCATGATCGACATGTTGGATTTCCTTTCTAATTATTAAGTGTACAACAAAATTTGACTGCTGCTTCTTCTCTGAGTATACCCGGAACAAGAATGTGCTTCCACTAATCTGATTAACCCTTTCCTCTGTATAACTCAGTGGAGTATAGCATTGAGCTTTGAGGAAAATGAACTCAGATCAGCATTAACTTGCATTTCTGTTTGCATTAGCAGCTCAGCTTTTGTTTAAACAAAACAGCATTCTGCAAATGAAATAGATTCAATTCAACAAAGAATTCATAAAATGAATAAAAATAATAAATCAGAGTGATTAATATCAGAGATAACTTCATGATAACCAGGACCTAAGAATGCCATGAACATCTATCAGACCCGACTGCTTAATGAAAGGTTCTCTTTTATTTCTATGTATTTATTTTAATTTTGGAATATATAACAATGTTTTTATGCAATTGAATTTACATTTCTGCTACTAACACTTCTAATCGATTTGTAATCAAAAAACAATTCAGTAATTATTTTGGCTCAACTAATCTGTGTTTATGACTGGACAGAATTCAAACAGTAAAACTGTGACCTCATATAAAATCAGAATCTGATCTTTTTCGGCAATGAATGATTTATATGAAACAAAGAGTTTTCCTACATCTTCAACCTTTAGAAATCATGTAGCTTTAGTAAAGCATCCTTTAATCTCAACCAATCCACTTCTAGATTGTGCTAAATCCCATGATAAACTAAACGAGAAGAAGTGAATTACAACATAAGCTACACTGCATACAAAGCATCTCCACAGCAGTGATATTCTGTCCGTCTCAGTTGCACTAATTGCACATTGACCAGACGGCTGACAATATATATTTACAACCTCTAATTATTTTAACAATATCCATTGAGTCAGTGAATTATTCCATTTAAATAATTTCATATAGTTTTGCAAATGCATCCTGCAGTCCAGCCCAGGGTAACCTTGACAAGCAAACAGAGGGAAAAAAAGGGTTCTTAAACTGTAGTTCTATCTGCTACAGCTTATGCCTTTACTGCTGGTTGTTTCCAGCAGTCTGAGAATCACAGCCCACCAGCTTCACCTCCCAAAGCCACTTAGGAATATACAAAGAGAATATACCAAAGCTTGGAATGATCAGAAGTGACTTGACGTTGCAACAAAAACTGTTAGGAAACTTCAATGTACATTTATTTACCGGGACTGAAAGTAACCTGGGATATGAAATCCATAACATTGACTGCAAATCAACTATTTAGAGTGCTGATATTTCAGAGGAAAAAAAATGCAAAGCTGCAAGAAAGGCAACATAGTGTGCACCAGTGTGCAGACGGGTATAGATCAGTACGTTTAGAATTATTTTGCTGTAATCATTAACAAAAACATAGAAAATAATATCTCTTATGAGACCAGTACCTGGTCTTGTTGTTGCTGGTGTCCCCTCCCCATGTTAGGCTGCTCCTTCGTGGCTGTCATTGACGGTTTGGGGTACACTTTCTCAGCTGCAGTTCAGTATTAGGCTTCTAACTCGGCAGCTGAATCATGACAGGTTTCCTTCTTGGATGCCCTGTAAACTATGCCACTAAAACAACAGGAAGGCGAGAGCAGCACTGGAGTTGGCAGTGCGCGGTCTGCCGCTCTGCCACAAGTCCACACCGAATCAGCGCGAGGGCTGGAATGGAGGAGCGAACACGAAGAGAAGGATTAAAACTATTGAGGTGCAAAGCAGTGGGAGCGCCAGACTGCCACCACACCCGTGTGCTCTGTCATTCACACTCACTCACTCACTCACTCACTCACTCACATTCCCGAGGAACAGCAAAGCAAAGCCGAGAGCAGAGCCTCAGAGCTGAACCGCAAACATTTACAATCTTTCCTGTTGTGTCAGGGAATGAGTCTCTGACAGAAACGCTCTCCCGCTCCTCTCTCTGCGCCGCTCTCACTGCCACTGATTAGCACATCTGGAGAGAAATCAAATGTCAAACTCAGTTTCCCCCCTCAGCTGGAAGATACCACTTGTCTCTGCCAAGCGAGGGGGGGATATCCAGTGCGCACCGATGCTCAAACAGCATTGACTGAGTGACCAGGAGGTCTGTCCAGCAATCTGAGCTGCCGGTCAGCACTCAACTGTAGGCTCATGCAAATTGGAAACCTTCATACATATACTGCCCCACCACACTGCCAAGTCTATTGTTCATTTGTGTTTGCTTGTGAGAAATGCTGAAACCTAAATGTGGTGAGTACATAAACATGGCTTTACTGCATTAAAATATCAATTAACTCATCTCCATGGAAATGCATGAGTTAGTGCAGCTTAGAGAGGAGTCAACACTCCATCATTTAAACATAATCAAACAAGGATTGCCTGCTTTAAAGCAAATTCTTTCACAAAATCATTTCTGCAATATTGAGACTCAGAGTATTATTTTCAGTATTCACCCAGATTCACAATGGATTTTTTTTACCATTTTAGAAATGGGGTTTTAAAACATAACTCATACCCATTCAAAAATTCCCACATTTAACAGATCAAATTACTGTAATTTGGGATTATGAACATGCGTAGATTAAAAATACTGAATATTCACTTACAGTCTGCAGAATTACTGTTAACTTCAAAACAGATCTATGAAAAAAACTTTGTAAAATGCATAGCATACGTACAGAAAAATCCATGTCCATTTTGTTAAATAATTTGTTCAAATGGGTTCAAGGTAGCTATACTTTATTACTGCGGGGCCAGTTTTTCATTGCTGAATAATTGATAAAAACAGAAGGCATGCTTATCTGTCCTTATCTTACATACTAACGCTCTAATGACTTAAAGGGGAAATCTACCCTATTCAATTACAGACATAGCCATTCGCCACATTTCTGTTCAATGTGCTGCATTGTTCTGAGCAAATGCAACTTTCGCAGATGAGGGAGTGTGAGGGGGTTGGAAATATGTGCTCATCAGGCTGAAGAATGTCAGTGCTGGTAAAAGGAACATTTTCCAATGTCATCTCAAGCTAGCATGAAGCATCTGCAGGTCAAGAAAGCAAGGCCAGATATAGTGCAAAGCTGCCTCTGGTGTGCCTCTTATCTAACCCATGTAAGAGTATACCCCACTGTATCTTTTTCCACTTCCTTCATCTATCAACCTTAGTGTCTGGATAAGATTACTTATTTATTATCAATTGTGCCAATCATCGGCAGTTCTCTGCTGTATTCATCAGGGAAGACAAATGACAATCTAAGAGGTTTATATATAAAGTGACAAAATACTCTGGCCAAAGGAATAAGAAATATGAAATAAAATGGGAAAATGGGGAGAAAAGAAAATAGTCAGTGAAAAACTGAATGGAGCACTTTCTTCTTTAAATGATGAAAATAGACTTGACTGACTGACTTAGCTGTATAAAGGCTACGCAGATTGCTGAAGATTATTAGTGTCAAGCTCTAATGGATAAATTCTAACTGCAATAATAATGCTGAGATTTGCCAGATAATTGTCCTCCAGATGAATGAAAATCTTTGTTTTAGAAAAAATCATGTTCTTCGAATGTAATCAGTGTAATAGTAATTTAGGTGTCAGTCCAGCTTAGCTCAGTTGGTAGCACTCGACTCTTTGTCAGAAAATTGTGGGTTCAGAACCCACTTCGAGATTTTGAGCTCACAGTCTAGTCTGGCACTCCACTGCAGTGTTGAGGAGCACTGCATTGTTGGAGGTGCAGTTTTTCAGATGAGACATTCAACTGAGATCCCATCTGCCTGTTCGGGTGGATTTTAAAGATCCCATGCCACTACGTGAAAGAGAAAGGATTTCTGATTGGTGTCCTTAACCAACAAACCCCCAAATCCTGCATTTGTTTACACATATACAGTTCAATCACTCTTCAGTGGATTCTGTGAAGCGTTTTGAGACATCTTCCCAATGTGAAAGGCGCTATATTAAGGATTATTATTTTTATCATTAATTTTAAGCAGATATCTGCGTTGCTAATGCCAAATATGTAGTGTTACGTGTGTACAGCTTGTTGATAGAAGCCTCCAGTGATGTTTTACATTGAAACATTATCAGTCAATGTGACAGGCTGCTTTTGTATAAAGGTTGTTATTGCTGGGTTTAAAAGTATTAAAATAATTGTGAAGTCATATTCAGCTTGTCAGCTATAATCAAACTACTATAGATATTAAACCATTTCATCTATTCAAATATAGATTAGAAGCAATCGCGCCAAAATAATTCAGTAGGTTTTAAGATTTTCATCATAAGTAATCTAACTGCAAGTGGCCCTATTTGGCAGGGGTAACAATCCCTTAAAACAAAATTGGGTCACAGATTTAAAATAGTTGCCAAAAGAACCAGAGGGGACGTGAGGTGTAATTTTTTCACACAACGAGTTGTTTGGATCTGGAATGAATTGCCTGAAAGGGTGGTGAAAGGATAACAACTTTCAAGAGAGAAGTAGATAGATATATTTGTGGAGGACAAATTTGCAGGGCTATGGGGAGAGAGCAGGGGAGTGGGACTAATTTGAACAGCTCTTTCAAAGAGCCAGCACGAGCAAGATGGGCTGAATGGCCTCCTTCCGTGCTGTATAATTCTATGATGCTATGCTTCCACCACTGTTTGTGGGACACTACTGTGCACAATTGGATGGTGTGTTTTGCCTACAAAATATACAGTCAATTTTCTGTGAAGGGCTTTGAGACATCTTGAAGATGTGATAATGCCCTATATCAAATGCAAGAATTATTCTTATGAGTCTCAAGTAAAATTAATTTAGAAAACATCAGTCAGTATAACACTGTTCTAAGTGCATGTCATTCTCTGGAAAACTTTAGAGTTTTGCCGTGATTTCCAGGGTTTTCACAATTTATTCAGGCTCGTACAAGCAATATAATCTACTCAGGGTCTATCAGATGAGACGTTAAACCGAGATCCTGTCTGCCTGTTCAACTGGACATTAAAGATCCCTTAGCGCTATTCAAAAAGAGAAGGGTGCTTTGCCCAGATTTCTGGCCAACAATCTCTCAGATAAAATAAATCATTCTCTTCATAGCTATTTGTGTCATTGCTGTGTGCAAATTGGTTATAGCGTTCGCTCAAGAAATACACAGTCACTACAATTCACCGAAAGTAGTTCCTCATTTATAGGGGATTTTCACATTTGTGGCAGGTAGAAACGCTTATAGATAAACTGCCAACACCAACAAGAGGCAGATTTTAAACAATGCAACAATCATTTTATTCCAACTGGTCTTTAATTTTTTTCCTAAATGTAAGAAAAATAAAAATAGAATATATTTTTATATGTAAAAAGGAGATTTTTTGAATGTTTGTCCAAAAAAACACACATTACATTTTATATTATTTCCTGTGAAGCACTTTGGGATGTCTTCCTGACTTGAAAGGGCTATCCCAAATATATTATTAGTATTGATTACCTTAGTGATATGTCTGAAGTGAACTATGCCCTTATAATCTTATAATCCTTGCATTTGATATAGCGCCTTATCACGTTGTTGAGATGTCTCAAAGCACTTCACGGGATATACTGCAAAGCGGATTGACTGCGTATTTTATGGGCGAAATGTGGCAGTCAGTTGTGCACAGCAATGTCCCACAAACAGCCATAGAGTGAGTGATTCCATTTTATTTTGGTAGATTGTTGGCCAGGACATTGGGAGAAACTCCCTTCTCTTTTCGAATACCATGGAATCTTTAACATTCACTTGAACAGGCAGATGGGACCTCAGGTTAATGTCTCATACGGAGAACAGCACCTCCGACAATGCAACACACGTTCAGCACTGCATTGGAGTGTCAGGTTAGACTGGGTGGTTCCAAGTCCCGAAGTGGGGCTTGAACCCACAGCCTTCTGACTCAGAGGCAAGAGTGCTACCACTGCACTAAGCTGATACAGACGACTCACCTCAGAAAGCGATCCGCCAAACAACTCAAGCACATTACCACATGGTTACTGTAAATTGCTGATTTCAAAAGTTGAGTTCAGTTGCCAGCAAGTCTGCCTTTGGTAATTTTTCCCCCAAGGGGTGGAAGCTTGTTTAGAGTATGCACAATGGTGTGGACTAGTTAGGCTGAATGGTCTGTTTCTATGTTGTAGCTTTCTATGTAATTCTATGTAAAAACCCTAACGCTTGCAACATTGACTTGTATATTTGTACCTAATGTTTGTTACACTGACTTGTATATTTGTATTCAAGCCACAGATGGATTTGCTGAAGCTAAACGTGAAAAGTCAACTTAATTAATTGGCCCTGTGAGGTATGATTCATGTTTGCTTTCCATACTATCAACAGGATTTCAGCTGCTCACCAAAGCTCACCCCAAAGTGCTCATTGACCTTTCTGCTCTTAAAAACTAACATATGTGTTTTAATGCTATTTTGAAACAAAGCTATTTGGCACTGAATAAGCCAACAGAATATTATACCAAAGGAAGTGTCACAGAATACTGCTTTTTAACTCACACATAGGACATATGGTACAATCAACAAACAATAGCCTCAAACATTTCTAACAGGTCAAATGTATAAATTTGGAGTAAACACTGGAAGAAAACCCTAATCTTGTTATTTGCAAACTTCAACAAGTGTTCAGCAAGATTTCTGAAATAGTTTCAAAAAACAAGGGAGAACAAGGCTTACGGA